TCAAGAAACTTTAGAAATAAGCAGCATTCTGTTTGTTTGGGGGACTGGTCACATTGGATGTGCTCAGGGATCACTTCTGGTAGGGCTCCTGGACCCTATAGGTGATGTGGGGCATCAACCCAGGTCAACTGTGTGCAAGGCTATACTATAGTACCTGATGTACTATAGCTCCAGACCCACACAAGCAATCTGGAGAAAAACTGCCTGGATTCAGATTTTCTTGTCTATTGTGTGACACCATCCACTATTTGGTCTCAAACAACAGATGCTCACCCAAATACACAAATGCAAGGTTGCCAATTGCAGCTGCAATGTTATCTATGGTAACTAGCACAAAACCAGATAATCACACACTGTTACTCCAACAGAGTGCCACACATGTAAAAGCACAGCCAGTGGGACATACTACGAAAACTGGGCTAGAGTTGGGTGGTGGGACGCTTGCCTTGCACGCAGCCAACCCAGCATCCCATTTGATTCCTCGAGCCCCGCCAGGAGTGATCCCTGAGTGCAGAGCCAGAATTAACTAAGCACCACTGGGTGTGGCCCCAAAAATGAAAAAGTCACAGGTCCTGTCACAATTACTCAAAATTATACCTAGAGACAAGGGTCATGCCACACACCCTGCTGTCACAGACCTTCCAACTATTTCATCCGCAGACACTAGTAGCCAACACAAATACACACACACACACACACACACACACACACACACACACACACACACACACACAGTGTCCCTCCTGCAGCCTCTCACACTGTTATACACTGTGACACCGCCGTTTCCCAGGTGGCGCCCAACTGGTCCCAGCTGTCTACCCACGCTGGATCCCGACCCCCGACTAGCGCACCCAACGAGGCCCCACTCACCTCGGGACGTCGTTAACGCTCGGAACCTCCCAGCGACCAGAGACGCGGGACGTCACCTCCCAGAAGCCCCGGCGGGGCGGAACCGACGAGTTCGGCCGGGATGCTGACTTGCCGCCCGGTCCGGACCAAGCTCCTCGGCTTTTCCTTGGGGCTCCGCAAACTACCAGCCCCAACAGGCTTGGCACCGTGCTTCATCTCGCGGAACTACATTTCCCAGAGGGCCCCCGAGTACCCGCCTCTGCTTCGCGCCTGCGCAGCCCGCGGCCGTGGTGGGAGTAACGGGATTGGAAAGTGCCGCCTCGGGCAGGCTCGGCGGGCTGAGTGACCTGCTGCAACTGTGAAGAGATGGGGGCCTGTGATGGGATGCTCGGGGGAGGCGCTTTGGCTGTAACAGTTGCAGCGCGGGTGTGTATTTTAAACCACACCCTGGCATAAAGGGTCGATGTGTGACAGATCGTGGACTTGGCGATGAGGGTGTCTGAGAGGATGTGTGTCTAGATCATTCTCTCACCCATTTCACCCTAGTTTAAGACCGGTGCCTTTCTTGACTGGCAACATCGGTGTCTTTAAGAGAAACGTCTGGCTTGCAACTATTTCTGTCGTCCTCATACGACCAAATGCAACATGTGATTTTAGTAGTAATCTCTAGTAGAGAGGCGTGTGCATTGACTAGCTAACAGTGTGAACAGCTGAAACAAATAGTGGTAGGACGTTCCATCAGGGTCTAATCTAGAAATATACTAATCATTTCAACCATGACTTACTGGACATTGATTATGCAATGTTGAAAATATGAAAAGCCACAACGGGGAGAGCCTTTAAACTTCTGGAAGCAGATTGAAGAAAAAAGAAATCTACTTACAAAAACTTTTCAAAAGTCTTGAAAATAAGTTTTAGGAACCAGAGCGATAGTACAGTGGGAGGGTTTGGCTTGCACGCAGCCACCTGGTTTGATATCTGGCATCCCATATGATCCACCGTGGACCTCAAGTTGTAATTCTGAGTGCAGAGCCAGGAGTAACCTCTAAGCATCACCCAGTGTGACCAAAAAAGTCACAAAAATAAAAGATAATAGGTTTCAGTCTGACACTTAACTGACTTGGTATTTCTGGAAAAGCAGAAAGGATCTGCAACCTCAATCCCTCTACTCTAAGAGTGATACTTAAAGAACTGGAAAACTGAAAATGAGTTCCTTTGACCTTCCTGCCATACAGTCTCCTAATGTTTCCATTAAAAATGGAAATCCAGGGCCAGAGTGATAGGGTGCTTACGTTGCACACAGCGGGTCCAGGTCCAGTCCCTCGCGTAACAATATGTTACGTTCCCCCAAGCACCTCTAGAAGAAATTCCTTGGTGCAGAGCCTGGAGTAAAGCCCTGAGCTCACACACCGTGAGGTGTGACTCAAAAACAAGAAACAAAATAAATATAATCCTTATTAAAACACTGACTCACTAACACTCACTTCTATGTGATATTTCTGTTGCCATGCTAGTTTGAAATTTTATTTTTCAATCAATACATATGCTTTAATATTGCTCTAGAAAAAAATCCATTTGATTATATTACAGAAGCTTAAGAAAAATGATAATTAGAAGCAATGAATGGGACCCAAGTTTGCTTTATTACTTTATTTTGGTTTTGGGGGGCACATCTGGCAATCCTCAGGGCTGACTCTTGTTGGACTCATGGATCCATATGGGATGCTGAGGGTAGAAACTGGACTGGCCATGTGCAAGGCAAGTACCCTAACCACTGTACCCTTGTTCCAGCCCCTCCTTCATGACTTTAAGAGGGAAAATACATTAGGAAGAAACATTATTAAATTCTACAACTCTAAATGAAATAGCCTTACATGTATTAAAAGTTGATGAAAATACATGAACATAAAATTCTGAACAGAGTACTAATTTTAAACGTCTTATTTCTTCTGCTACAGAAACACATGTTATTTTACCTATATTACATTTATATTTTATCTATATTTACATCACAGTCCTAACAGTACATGTGTTAAACACAACATAAATTAATAAATAAAAATGAAGACAACCCTTAATACAAAGCATCAGATAAGGAAATTAAAGACAAATCATTAACACGAAACTGGAGAAATTTTGGTAAACTATAGGCATCATAATTTATAAACTTGTGTTAATTCTGATATTAAAATATATACATTCAAACATCTGCTTTCATATACACCTGAAAATTCAGGTAACTTCATGTTCAAACCAAATTTTATAAACTAAAATAGAACAAGTCACAAAATATGTTAACTATGGTACTATAAATTCTAGGAGGCTGTAAATAGAATTCCTTGACTGAAAGAGAAAATATAAATGAAAATTATAAACTAGAAATGAATTAAAAAACTGACATTCACTCTTTGCCTTACTTTGTTTTTGAGCCACACCTGGTAACACTCAAGAGTTACTCCTGGCAGTGCTCAGGGGACCATATCGATCAGCTGCATGCAAGGCAAATGCCCTACCCACTGTAGTATCTCTCCAGCCCCTCAATCTTTGCTTTTTCTCTGCAGAAACCCATGTTCTCTCCTGAACATGCCCTTTTTGGAACTCTCTCCTTATCTCACATTCTAAGTTTCTCAAAATCAAACTATTTTTCTTGAAAAGCAAAACAAACCAAAAAAATGGACTTTTTTATGAGCTGGAGAGATAGTATAGTGGGTAGGGCACTTGCCTTGCATGGAGCCAATCTGGGTTCAATCCCTAGCATCCCATATGGTGCCTGGAGTCTGCCAAGAATGGTTCCTGAGCACAGAGCCAGGAGTAACCCCTGAGAACCACTGGGTGTGACCCAAATACAAAAAACAAACAATAAAAAACCCAGGATTCCTGAGCGCAGAGCTGATAATAACCCCTGAGCACTGCTAAGTGTAACCCCCACTTCCCACATCCCCCCCAAAAATATATATATACATAGTAGTACACATTGACATTACTTTGATTCACAGTAAAGACTCAGCAATTTTGCCTATCATTGGTACAAAATTTCAACACAATAGAAAAATAGCAAATAATGAATGTCTTAACATTACCTAATTTGCTGATCATACAGATCACTGGAAAGGACCCCAAACATCCTCTCGTGGATGAACATAGAATCACAGTTCCATAAAACAGAATTAAATGAGAACATTGAATCAAACTTCCTGACACAGAGCCACGAGATAGCTGCAGAGGTGAGGAGTGGGGTGCTTGCCTGCACACAGCAGACCCGGGTTCAATCCCAGCACCACATATAGTTTCAACAGAGCGCAGAGTGCATCCTGGCCAGAGCTGGTGTTGTGGCCCCAAAGCATCCCCATGCCCAAACCCCCAAAAGTACTGCCATAAATTGGAACTTTTTGAAATATTATTTGGAGCGATAGAACAGTGGTAAGGAGTCTGACTTGCACGTGGCCGGCCCCACTGACTCGGGTTCGATTCCTCTGCCCCTCTCAGAGAGCCCGGCAAGCTACCAAGAGTATTTTGCCCTCACGGCAAAGCCTGGCAAGCTATCTGTGAAGTATTCATATGCCAAACATAGTAACAAGTCTCACAATGGAGACATTACTGGGCCCGCTCGAGGAATTGTCAGTATTAGTCCATAAAACTAAAATATTTTGCCTTAAGTTTCACACACTTCAAACAAGAAAAAATAAAGCACTGCTGGCAATCAAGGCTCAATTACATTCAAACTCTGGGAGACAAACAAAAATTAGCTGAAAAATAGGGCTTTCCTCTACCAATTCTTACTCCCATGTCAAGCACTCAGATTAGAATCTTCAAAAGAAAATTTTGAGGCAATTAACCCAAGTTGTCTATCAAAGCCTAACATTAAAATATGAGCAAATTTGGAAGTTTATCAAACATCATTTAGTATTCCCAGGTGTGAATGTTCTGTCTTATATTTTCATTTTTTTCTCATCAGTATTTGGAATAGCCTCATATTTCATGTCGTGAGATGACAATTCAGGATGCTTAAAGGAAACCAAAAAGTGCTCCAGAGCCAACACACACACACACACACACACACAATCTGTATTATCTTTAGTATAGATTCAAACTGGAAATCAAAGAAATCCAAGAAACAAATTAAGGTATATTAAAAAGATCTCTCTCCAACACACAATGATTAATAATTATTTTAATGCAAAAAAAAGATTTATTTTCTTCAAACCTAGAATCAGTCTGTTTTTCAAACCTAAAGCTAGGCTAATTACAATCCTTCTCACCTATCAGTTATTTATAGATAGTATGTGTTAATCTACATATTATCTGTTTCCATGAACTCAACATTTCCCAAACACTTCCTGAAGCTGACTGCTGTCATGCTCTGGGGAAGCAGAAGCAAGATTGACACAATCTTGATTTCTGTTAAGTACCTCGTTCAGGGAACCATATGGGGTAGTGAGGATCAAATCCAGGTTGTCTGAGTGCGAGGCAAAGGTCCTATCTGCTGGACTATCATCACTCCAGACCCTTAAGTACCTTGTTTTTGAAATTTGAGACCAGCTCTAATATTGTTCACTCACATTAAGATTACTGTGGATGGAGTGTTCAAGTGTACTTTGGCATTAAAATAATCCCAATTTACTAAATTCAACTTATTTAGAAACAACTCCATCAATTTACCTGAGAAACCTCCCACAATCACCAAGTCAGAGAAAAGAGGCCGGCAGTTCTTCAGAGTGAGCCTCACTATTACAGTACTGTGTGCATAACCCTCACATATAGTATGTCTCTATTCTGATATGTGGCAACTGCTAATGTGATTAAGCCACAGCTCTAGGTATCCCCTCAAATATATGGAGCTGACTCCTGGTTAATGGTTTCATTTCACAAGGTTTTCATCCTGCGTGTGTCCTTTAATATGTCTGCCGAGGTTTGATTTCTGACTAAAGCCTCGACCACATTTCCTGCAAACGAAAGGCTTTTCTCCTGTATGCATCCTCTGGTGGCGAATAAGGTGTGACTGCCTGCTAAAGCCTTGCCCACATTCGCTGCACACATGAGGCTTCCCCCCAAAATGGGTGTCCTGGTGTGTAATGAGAGTTACCTTATCAGAGAAACCTTGCCCACACTCTCTGCACACGAAGGCCCTATCATCAGTGTGTGTCCTCCTATGTCTGAATAGGTTTTGCTTCTGGTTAAAGCTTCTACCACACTGCCTGCATACAAAAGGCTTCTCGCCTGAATGTGTCCTCTGGTGTGAGATGAGACCTGACTTATGATTAAAGCCTCGGCCACACTCCCTGCAGATAAATGGCTTCTCCCCGGAGTGGATCCTCTGGTGTGAGATGAGGGTTGATTTCCGGGTGCAGGCTCGCCCACACTCTCTGCATACAAATGGCTTCTCTCCAGTGTGTGATCTCTGATGTTTCTTGAGGTTTGACTTCAAGCTAAAGTGCTGACCACACTCCAGACACATGAAAGGTTTAAGGCCCGAGTGTAACCGTTGGTGTGTCTTTAGGTTGGACTTCCAGCTAAAGTGACGCCCACATTCTGTACATAAATAAGGTTTCTCTCCTGTGTGTGTCCTTACATGACTAACGAGGTGTGACTTCTGGCTAAAGCTTTGCTCACATTCTCTGCAAACATAAGTCTTCTCTCCTGAATGGATCTTCTTATGTCGAATGAGGTGTGAATGCTGGCGAAAACCACACCCACATTCCCTACAAATGTAAGGCTTCTCCCCAAAGTGTGCCTTCTGGTGTGTAATGAGGTTCGATTTCAGGCTAAAGCTCTGTCCACATTCCTTGCACACATAAGGTTTGACCGCTGAGTGTATCCTCTGGTGTGCAAAGAAATTTGATTTCCAGGTAAAACTTTGACCGCATTCCCTACACACATAGGGCTTTCCCCCAGGGCATGTCCTTTCGTTTTTGATGAGTTCTGGCATATTGTCAAAGCACTGTCCCCACTCTGTGTGTGTCTTCTGGAGACTGAGTAGGTTTGACTCCTTGATAAATCTTAGACCAAACTCTCTGTATTTTATTGCTCCAAATCCTGATTCTTCTAAGCCATGCAGTACTTTGTCTAGTTCTGTGAGGTTGGTCCTCTGGTCAAGGCTGAGCCCTAAATTCTCCACTGCATTGTCCTTCTCAAACCTTATTGGCTGTTCATCAGGTGAGCTGCAGAATTCCTTTGAAGTGCTGCTTTTGTGTACTTTCCCAAATAAAAGCTTGGAGTCTTTTCTCTCTTGAATTTCTGCTTTGTCACTAGAGCAGGCTTGTTTAAAGAGTTCCTGTTGCTGTTTCTGATCTTCTGGGCAACACTTCCCTGGATGGAGAGAAATTCCTGCATAAAAACTTAAACTCTGATATCCATGATTACCATTCAATTCCTCTTTTACAAACCACAGCACCCAAAAAGAGAGAGAGAACAAAAGGGAGTGCCCTGCCACAGAGGCAGGGTGGGATGGGGGGATGGAGGGTGGGAGGGATACTAGGATTAGTGGTGGTGGAAAATGAGCACTGGTGGAGGATGAGCACTCGATCATTGTATAACTGAAACCCAAGTACAAAAATTTGTAAGTCTACAACTGTACCTCATGGTGTTTCACTAATAAAAATTAAAAAAAAAGAAAATATACGTATTAAATTCTAAATAACACAGAAAGTCTTCAAAGATACGTAAGTTTTTTATTTTGTGGTCATACCTTCTGGATCTCAGGAGCTTACTGCTTACCGCTCTGATGGTACATGGGAACCATGTGGTACTGGGAATCAAATTCAACCTCAAACATATAAAGCATGTATACTAGCCCTTTCTCCCCACCTGGACACAGAAGACAAAGTCTTAAAATCAACCTGATCAAAATGATATATAGGGGGGTTTGGTGCAGCCAGCAGGTCAATCTGTACCTGTGAGGCAAGTGCATCAGCAGCCTGATGGCGCCTTCAGACTTCCAGATACCCCAAAATTGCTGCTGTGCCTTTGGCCAGACCCCAAAAACCTGGGGCAAAGTTTACCAAGAAAGTAAACAGCCAAAAGTTGGGTATGTGGGAAACACACCCACAAACCACCTCTGGCTCAGCTATATAATTGGAGGCATGGCCTTTCTGGTTCCTGATCGAACTGCTTAATGGCCATGATCCCAGAGACTCAGAAACAAATCTCGAAACCCAGCGGCTTTTGGCAGAAATGCGTCCGGTCCCTGCAGTAGGTTACTGGTGCTGGGTCACCCCAGGTGGGAATAGGTTTCATGCCTTGGCCTGTTCACCCTGGCGGCCCAGTGGCCACCATCCTCCAGAAGCCACTGGACAGTTAGGCTTGGGCCCACAGTGACGAGATACGCATGGCCTCACGGGATGGGGTGGAGCCAGTCCTGTCCTCCCCAACCCAACAAGACCCCAAGTCATTGCCCTCAAATGGCCTCTCTGGCTCCTGACCAAGCTGTTTAATAGCCATGGTCTCAGAGACTCAGGAGCAAATCTTGGAACCCAGCAGGTTTTGGCAGAAATCCCTCCAGATTTAAGTGTTAAAATTTCAGAATTTCAAAATAGTGTGGCCACTACTGCAGCCATGCGACATCATATGTTATTTATAGAAAACAAATTGTCTACTGTTGCCTTTTCAGCAGATCTGAGTGTTGGGGTAAAATCTCAAATAATAATGGTAGGTCTGGTGTCAAAATACTGAATGTGATCAAAGTAGAGAGAGTAATGTGGAAATCATCTGCCCCTCAGGTAGGGGAGGGTGTGGGATGGGAGTATACTAGGGTTGCTGGGGGTGGAAAATGGGCACTAGTGAAGGTACGGGTGTTTCATTGTATGACCGAGACTTAGACCCGAAAGCTTTGTAACTGCTCTCATGGTGATTCAATAAATAAAATTATAAAAAATGGAAAAAAAATGATATATAGGCAATTGCTGCAGAATGTATAATCCTTAAAAATGTTCTTAGAGCATTGGGTAAAATTGTTCTGGCCACACCCTGCAGTGCTCAGTGCTAACTCCTGGCCCTGCGCTCAGACACCATTCCTGGCAGGGTTCGGGGAGGCCATATCTAGTGCCAGGGATTGAACCATGAGGATCCATATGCAAGAAAAGGGCCCTACCTGCTGTACTACGACCCTGCCCAATAAATAGTTAAATACACTAGAAGACAGCCCAAAAGTAACCTCAAATTTGTTGGGAAACTTTACATTAAAAAACTGCAATGAGAGCCAGATAGTATAGCAGGCAAGGTACTGGTCCTGCACGCAGTAAGACCCAGGTTCAATCCCAAGCACCGCATGAGGTCCCCCAAGTCTCACCAGGAGTGATCCTTGAGTGCAGAGCCAGGAGTAAGCCCTGAGCATAACCAGATGTGGCCCCAAAACACAAACAACCTAAAATCTCTGTTAAGTCAGCCCTAGCTAATAAATGCAACACCTTCATTAGTGGAGAACAATCTGGCATTACCTAGATTGAGAAGAACATACTCTTGACTAAGTCTCTCTATTTGGTGGTACATATCTTAGAGCAACAAGTGCTTATGTGCCCAAGGACCTGTGTATCAAAGTATTCAGAGCTGTATTCTTTAATAGCCAAAACTGGCTAAAACACATTCTATAAAATGGTATACAAAGGGTTGGAGTGATAGCACAGCAAGTAGGGCATTTGACTTGCACACGGCCAACCCGGGTTCAATTCCCAGCATCCCATATGGTCCCCAGAGCACTGTCAGTAGTAAGTCCTGAGTGCATGAGCCAGGAGTATCCCCTGTGCATTGCCAGGTGTGACCCAAAAAGCAAAAAAAAAAAAGGGGGGGGGATACAAATGAGTCGTATTCTAATTTTGTATATAAGATAAAAACAGTCGTAAAAATTAATGCCTAAAACTTCATTTAACAACATGGATATTCTTACATATTCAGTATTGGTAAAGAGCAATTTTTTTTTAATTACTCTTTTTTCATTTTAGGTGACACCGGCAATGTATTACTCTTGGCTCTGCACTTAGGAATCAATCCCGGCAGTGCTACAGTGCTAGGGGAACCATATGGGATGTTGGAGATCAAACCTGGGTTGGCCGTGTGTAGGGCAAATGCCCTCCCTGCCATACTATCACTCCAGCCCCCACAGATACATTTTAATATGAAGGCATCAATAAAATGTTTAAATAAAAAGTTCCGGAAATCGGGGACATGGTGCCACCAGCAAGTCAATCTGTACCTGTGACGCGAGTGCATCAGCAGCCTGATGATACCTTCAGAATTCCAGATACCTCAAAATTGCTGCTGTGCCTTTGGCCAGACCCCAAAAACTTGAGGCAAAGTTTACCAAGAAAGTAAACGGCCAAAACTTAGGTATGTGGGAGACACACCCACAAACCACCTCCGGCTCAGCTATATAATTGGAGGCATGGCCTCTCTGGTTCCTGATCAAACTGCTTAACAGCCATGATCCCAGAGACTCAGAAACAAATCTCGAAACCCAATGGCTTTTGGAAGAAATGTGACCAGTCCCTGCAGTAGGTTACAGGTGCTTGGCCACCCCAGGTGGGAATAGGTTTCATGCCTTGGCCTGTTCCCCCTAGCAGCCCGGTGTCCATCATCCTCCAGAGGCCACTGGAAAGTCAGGTTTGGGTCCACAGTGACAAGACACATGGGGCCTCACGAGATGGGGGTGGAGCCGGCCCTTTCCTCCCCATCCCAACAAGACCCCGAGTCAGCGCCAACAAATGGCCTCTCTGGCTCCTGATCAAGCCGTTTAATGGCGATGATCCCAAAGACTCAGAAACAAATCTTGAAACCCAACGGCTTTTGGCAGAAATGTGTCCGGACCGCGCAGTAAGTTACTGTCGCTGGCTACCCCAGGGGGGAAAGGGTGCTGTCCCTCTGCCTGCTCCCCCTTGGAGGCTCGGGGGCCGCTATCTGCCAGAGGCTATTGGACAGTCAGGTTTGGGCCCGCAGTGACAACACGCGGGGCCTCACGGGATGGGGGTGGTGCCGGCCTTTTTCTCCCTGTCCCAATGAGACCCCGAGTCACTGCCCACTAACGGCCTTTCTTGGCTCCTGATCAAGCTGCTTAATGGCCATGATCCAAAAGACTAAGGAACAAATCTCGGACCCCAGCAGGTTTTGGCAGAAATCCCTCCAGATTTAATTGTTAAAATTTCGGAATTTCAAAATCATGCAACCACTACAGCAGCCGTGCGACATCATATGTTATTCATAACCAGCAATAGAAAACAAATTGTCTACTGTTGCCTTTTCAGCAGATCTGAATGTTGGGGTAAAATCCCAACTAATAATAGTGGGTATGGTGTCAAAATATTGAATGTAATCAAAGTAGAGAGAGAGAAATGTGGAAATCATCTGCCCTACATGTAGGGGGAGGGTGTGGATGGGGTTATATTGGGGTTTTGGGGGGTGAAGAATGGGCACTGGTGAAGGGACGGATATTTCATTGTATTACCGAGACTTAAACCCAAAAGTTTTGTAACTGCTCTCATGGTGATTCAATAAATAAAATTATAAAAAATGAAAAAAAAAGTTCCTGAAATCACACTAGGATTCATATACGTAGTCATGAAGTTTAAGAGAAAAAAAAGCATACGAATTATTAATCCCTAATTGTTTTTGTTTTATTGGGACACACCAAGTGGTACTTAGGAACTACTCCCAGATTGGTCGTCAGGAGCTGCTCCAGCTTGGTGCCTGAGGAACTATGCAGTGCTGGGGGCTGGCTCGAGGACTATGCAGTACTGGGGACTGGCATACTAACTTAGCCTGTGGTGCTAATTCTCTAGACCTTAATCATTAATTTTGAAAACATTCCTTTCCTTTTGAGCAGGGGATCTGAGAAATACATATAATCAGAGAAGGGGAAACAGGGGCCTCAACTATTTAGATAATGTTTTATTCCCTAAGCTTGGATGTTGGCACACACATACATATTTTGTTATTTATAGAATGCCTTTATCTTATTGAAGGACAACTGTTTTAATTAAGCGAATTGGGAAGGCAAAAAGTTAATTATGATTTTTAAAAAAAGACCCCCCAAAAAAGATAATTATGACATCTAAGAGAAACTGCTAAGTACCTAAAAGGGTGGCAGATTTAACGTCCATGATGTAGGTACAGTTTCTAAAGCCACACAGAAAGAAAAGAAGCCCTTGAGTGAGCAAAGAGTGGACATGAAAGGGAGAGCAGAAAGAGGAAAAGGGGCCAGAGTGATAGTATAATGGGTAGGGCATTCGCCTTGCATATGGCTGCCCCAGGTTCGATTCCCGGCATCTCATATGGTTCCCTGAACCCTGCGAGGAGTAATTCCTGAGTGCAGAACCAGAAGTTAACCCTGAGCATCACCGAGTGTGAACCACAAAGTCAAAAAAAAAAAGAGGAATGACCTTCCTTCCTAGTAAATAAAAGAGACCAGAAACTAGTGAAGTTTTCTTCAACTGAGGATGATATTATTGAAGGGAGGTCATGCCAGGCTGCCCTCCCAGTGTTCTGGAAAACCTGGAGAAGTGCTTCTTCCCAACATAGGAGAAATACCTTCCCCTGCCCTTTTCACCCAACTGCCGATGGTCCCTTCATCTTGTGTCACACTCACCTGGAAGGCTCACAGGAGGCTGACTCTCCTCTAACCAGCGCTCTTCCCCATACTCCAGCTGAGAAATGACCTTTGGTTTGGAAAATGGTATTTCTACACAGTGGGAAAGACAACAGAGAGACTTTTGTTTAAAAACTCAAGGGAGCTTTACAGAAACCAAAGCAGAAATAAGTAGGGGGAAATAAGAGGTTTGTAGAGAGGATCTATGAAATAGCATAACCTCAGTTGAAAAGCTGAGTAAGAAAATGTGACTTCATTTAGAAAAATAGTAGTGGTAAATGAGAAAATGTTCTGCATCTGAAGCAAGCTAAAATAAAAAGAGAGCCTAATCCTTGGGAAAGAGGTGTCTAGAAATGGAGAGTAACGGTTTTCAATTCTACCAAATACAGATTTGCCCTAAGGAAAAATGGTAAATATTTATTTTGTTTTGGGGCCACAGCTAGTGGTGCTCTGGAATTACTTCTGGTTCTGCAATCAAGGAACACTCATAGAAGAGCTTGGGAGAGGTCATCTGGGGTGCTGGGGACTGAACCTGACATGTGCAAGGCAAGCACCTTACTCACTGTTCTCTCTCCCCAGTACCAATAAATTACTGTTTTTAAGCCCAACTCCAGGACATAGCTGCCTCATGGACAGTCTTCCCTCATGGCACACAAAAGCAACTCTGTGGCGCAGGAGAGCCATCCTTACCCAGCGAGGCCAGATGGTCATATGTCTCCAGCATCACTTCTCTGTACAAGGTTCTCTGTGTAGGGCTCAACAATCGCCACTCCTCCTGGGTGAAGTCCACAGCGACATCTCCAAATACCACGAAAGCCTGAAACATAAAACAGGCTTGTCTACCTTGTCCATGCAAAGAATAAAGTGACCAAAAAGGCTTCCTTGAAGGAATGAGAGAAGATGTTGAACCTACTTTCAATTGTGAACATAAGGTAACAGAATATGCCACTCTCATATATGCCATTTTGGCATAAGTATTTTTAAAGGCAACCGAAAAGCAAAACAAAAGTCTTCAGCCCTCTCTAATTTACATAAACATAAATTTGTAATGATGCCCCACCACCACCACCACCTGGAATAAGTTAATTACCCGACACGATTCTAAACCCTTATCACCCCAGAGCCAGATAAATCTACAAAACAAACATTAGTGAATATATACCCTTTGTCTTCCTTGAGTTTTTCCTTTGTATCTGCCTTCCCACCAACACCCCTGAAACTAAATAGCCTTTTTAGGTCACTATGTCATTCTTCTGATGTGTTTGTTGGAGGCCAGGGAGATAGTGCAATTGGAGTAATGCCCTGGACCATCCTGCCAAGCCTAGGCACTGATCAGTGGGGCTTGTAGAGCTAGACTGAGTATCTCTGAGAGTAGTCCCCGGGCTCTCTAAGCACTGCTTGAGATCCCTCTCCCCACCCCCAAAAATGTTAGTGTTCTTTTTGTTTGTTCATTCTGGGGCAACACCCAGCAATGCTCAGGGCTTACGCTTGACTCTGCACTCCTGGCAGTGTTCAGGGGACCACAGGGGATGCCAGGGCTCAAACCCAGGTCAGCCATGTACAAGGCAAATGCCCTATCTGCTGCCTTATCACTTTGGCAACCAGTTTACTGTTCTTTTAAGATGTCATACAAGTTCAGGTTCTAACTACCCCTTTGAGTTATTCATCACTTAATATACTCATGTGTAGGCATAATGTACATTAATTTCTGGAGCTAATTTAATCTATTTTTGTAAAGTCTTATTTACAGAGGTCCAGATTAAGAACTCAAAATTTAAAAAAATTAAAAAATAAAATTAAAAAATTAATGCAACAAAGAAAAGTAAAGGTGGTAATTAAATGAAAACAAAAAGTAAATGACCTCAGGTAAGGAGCAAAAGTTTGGCTGAAACACTTCTGAAAATGTGAAGGTGATGATTACACCTTCTTCTTGTTGTCACGAAATATCTGAAAAAAAAACAAGTTAACCTATATTAAAATAATACACAGCATAAAGTAATATGCCTAAAATAATACACCATTTGGCTACATGTTCATTGCATTCAGTTAAATCATAGAGGTCTTCACAGTGATCAATATCTGAGATTAGTTTCCCATTAAATTCTGATACACACACCCCATATCACTTTATTTTTGTTTTTGAGTCACATCAAGCAGTGCTCAGGTTTTACTCCAGGCTCTACTCTTAGGGCCAAATATGGTGCTGGGGATCAAACCCTGGTCTGCTGCATGCAAGTACTGCCATACATAGTATTGCTACAGTTCATGTATCATTTTATCTCAAATCCATTCTCAACATTATTCAAAACCTAATTAATTCAAAGATAAATTATATGCTGGCACTCAGCCTTGCCCAGACAAGAGGTGGAAATAAAATTATTAAGGGCCTAAATATAGACAATAAAAAGAGGGAGATACGGGCCAGATCAATAGTACAGCAGGTCAGACGCTTGCCTTGTATGTTGCTATCCCAAGTTTTAATCCCTGGCATCCCACAGGACCCCCTGGACACAGAGTCAGAGTAAGCCCTGAGGGGCCAGAGCAATAGTACAGCGGTTTGGGCTTTTGCTTCCAGGAAGGCTGATCGGGGTTCCTCTGGGGTTCAATCCCTGGCATCCCATATGGTCCCCCAAGCACCACCAGGACAGGAGTAATTCCTGAGCACAGAGCCAGGAGTAACCCCTGAGCATCGCTGGATGTGACCCAAAAGGCAAAAAAAAAAAAAGTATGCCCTGTGCACTACCGGGTGTGGCCCTCAAACCAAAAAATATACATAAATAAAAATCAGTGTTAAAAATCATTGATCATCAATCCTCCAACAACGTGGCAAGGGCTGGGTGAGGCTTCTGACGAAACATGCTTCCTACTGGTATGTCATCCCTCAAATGTTCAACGCACCAGAACAAGCAGCCCACTTCCTATTACGGGTCTCACTACTGTCCCTGCCCTTTATCTCTACCACTGGACAATCATGAACGCATCTGTATTTTTAAACTGCTCGATGGATGGTTTAGCAATGGATGAGACAGAAAAGGTACGCTGAGGTGCTACTCCTCCAGGTCCACCAAACCAATCTCGTAGGGGCAGGGACGGGTGGGGCGGGGGGCGGCGGGGAGTAACGACGACGGGTTCGATCCTCGGCACTCCACAGGGTCCCCAGGAGTCATCCCTGAGCGTAGAGCCAGGGATAAGCCCTGAGCATTTCCGGGTGTGACCAATAAAAAAGTAAAGATAACGGATCCATCCCGGTGAGACAACCCAGACGGAATCGGAATCTTAGAAATTTCTCACCTCTTTTTTGGCTCTCAGACGCCCCATGATCATTTTCGCGGTCTTCTCCGCACCCTCTCTGGAAAAGGGCAAAGTCTCAGAGACAGATACGGGGAGGTGAAGAGAAATATCCCCAGGAGACTAGCGGACGGGGGGGTAGTGGTGCCCCACAGCCGGCAATCGGGAATCCACAATCCGGTTCCCACCACGTTTCTTCTGGAAACGGCAGGCACAGGAGGCACCTACCGCACCAGACTGCGGCTAAGAAAGCGGCGCAGTGAGCGCTCCTCTCTCCGCCGCCGACGGGAATGAGGGTGGCCGGGCGGGGCCTACAGGGGAGCCCGAGCTGAGGCAGCCCCGCCTCGCCAACCGCAACCCCGTGATTAAAACCGGGACGCGCGGGGGAGACAGGTTAACCGGGCCGGCCAGCCTGAGAGGACACTAGCAGAATGCGGGGTCCCCAGGGGCCGCTCCTGAGGCGGGAAACCAAGGGAAGGGAAGGGGGAGAAGCTCGCGAGGACCTAACAAGGTCGGCACCGCGGCACTACAGAAGCGACTCGAGGACCACGGCTCTCACGCACCTGGCGGAGAGAAAGAGAGAACGGAAGTTGTCGCGAGATCTCGGAGACCGGAAGTGGCCGCAAAGGCCTCTGGAGATTGTAGTCTTGAAGGCAGGCGGCTGCTGAATTAGAGGCACAGATACCGGCAGGCGTATCTTCCCCTCTAGCCAAGCCTAGGAAGCCTTAGCTCCTCGCGGTCCAGATTAGCCGACTTCGGGTCTCGCAAGCTTTTTTTTTTTTTTTTTTTCTCGGAGGCCCAGAGGGATCTGTGAGCCTCAAAAGAACGCCAGGGATCCGGGGAGATGTAGACTCTTGGCGCCCTACGAGGATTTGGGGAGGAGGGTCTGACCTTAGCGGGGAAACTGATAGAAACCTTCGCTGGGCTGGCCTGATGGAAACCTTAGCTGGGCCGGCTTCACTCGCCGCGGTTTCCACCCTTAACGCTTTGGCCAGCGCAGAAAATAAGAGCCCGGATAGACAAATCTGAGCCCGTCAGGTGGTGGGTACTGCTCACCCCCAGAATGCCGGGGGTAATGATTCCGATTGCGGGAGGTTGAGTGTATCGACTTGGGGAAATTTAAAAAAAAAAAAAAAAAAAAAAAAGCAAAATTCCGAACCCGAGCGATAGCACAATGGGTAGGGCACTTGCCTTGTATGCGGCAGACCCAGCTTAAATCCTCGGCATCCCATATGGTTAAACCCTTCAGCCCACCAGGAGTGATTCCTGAGTGCAGCGCCAGTAGTAACCCCTGAGCACCGCTGATTGTGTTCCCAAAATTAAAAAAAAAATACAACCCACAAAATACCTTACTGATAGTGTGGGTAGGACCGGTGGTTTGATCCAGACATATCTGGAATTGGGCACTAAATACAGAGAAATCCTTGGCAATGGAAAGTGAGAGGAAACAGGAGTCCTGAAGAGTAGGCACATCATCAAGAATTCTTTGTGGTATTAATTTTATTATTTTAGATAATTTAAACTCCCCCTCCCTGTTTTGTTGTTGTCCCTTTACTGAGTTCCTGCTGTAAAGAAAGATATGAATGCATCTGATACAATGTGAGCCTCATTAGCACCTACTGGCCTGTACCCAACTGGAAGGTGAGAGTCTGGCTTCTAGCATCAAGTAGCGGGCTTGTAGGCATTTTAGGTTGGGAACTTCACCTTGTATGTCCTGTCTTTTCTGATTTACTTAATACCCTTATTTCCTGATAACCCTCCCTACCAAAGCCCCATCACCAAGGCACCTACAAGGTTCAACCTGGTGCAAATATTCAAAGGTTATTCTTTTTTTTCTTCAGTTTGATAAGATTTTGATGTCGTTATTGGCCTTCCGTTAAGTGTTCGACACTTTTAACTGGTCACTGAAAGTTCTAGAAGGTCACAGTAGAATGTGGCAGAGCCTCCATGCTGGTCAGTGACTTCTCTACAGCTACTATTTCTACTTTGAGAAAGTGATCCTGAAGTCCTCGTCGCTCCACTGTCAGCCTTGAGTGCCTCTCTAGTTGGCATCTCTCAGGGGTAGCCATGGTTGGAGGGAATGACTTAAGAGGTTCTTCTTGGTGGTGGTGGGGTGGGAGTGTAGGTCTGAATTCATGTCAGTTCATATGCTCTTCTCTCTCTTTCTCCTTCAGCCTCTTTTAGGCTGCCTTTTTCTCTTCACCATGTTTGGCCCCTAAATTGACAAGAAACCAGGTCAGAGATTATGCTAGACTCTTTACAACCCTCCCTAGAATATCTATATTCCTTCCCTTGAAAAAGTGAAAAGAGTTTGTGTGTTAATGTCATCCTCCTCCTTGGATGTATTTTCTGGACAGAGGATCAGCCCACTGCTCTATTTTATTTTATTTTATTTTATTTTATTTTATTTTTTGAGTTTTGGGCCACACCCAGCTGTGCTCAGGGATTGCTCTTGGCTCTGTGTGCTCAGGGGTCACTCCTGGCAGGGCTGGAGAGACCATATGTGGTGACAAGGATCAAACCCAGCTTGGTTATGTGCAAGGCAACTACCCCATTCGCTGTACTCCTGCTCTATCCAGGAGGTTCTATTTTAGTCTTGGTGTCACACCTTGCCAAACATTGCATATACATAAACATGAAACACTTGTAACAACTGAGTGGGAACAAAAATCAGGAATGTGGCACTGAGGAACAGATAAAAAATAAAGGGACTGAAAAGCTTCAGAGGTTCAGCCTGGAAATCGGGAAGGAAACAATCTAGATCCCTATGTATAGAAAGTTGGGTGTATACATCAATGAAGAGACTCCCAGGTGATAGGTTCATCGTATATAATAATAGATCAGGTTATAATAGAACTCGGGGGTGGGGAGCAAGCAAGGAAAGAACACTATCTCTTTAAACTTCACAAATATCCACATTTTGGGGGACTGTAGACATATACAATGGGTAAGGTGCTTTCCTTGAACACAGTAAACCTGGGTTCAATCCCCAGTGCCCCATATAGTTCCCCAAGCCTACCAGGAGTGATCCTGAGTGCAGAGCCAGGAGTAAGCACTGAGCATCATCAGATGTGGCCGAGAAACAAACAAAAAATTTAACATCTTCAAGGCTCTAAAGTTGCATGTGTAGCTTCAGGCACTTATATGAAACATGATACCAGTGCTAAGTGCCAAGTACAATGATAAACTGTTGTGATATTGTGAATTATAAGATACATAAATATGGTCTTCCACAATCAATCCTGCCTCCTAGCTCCCCAAACTCACTGAATTTTCTGCACATTGAAAGTAATGGGTGAGAAGCCAGAGAGATCATATGGCAGATTTGGTGTTTGCCTTGAATGTGGCCAGCTTTGCATGCAGCCCACCTGGGTTCGATCCCCAGAATCCCATATGGTACCCTGAGAACCACCAGTAATTTCTGAGTACAGAGCCAAGAATAACCTCTAAGCATCACTGGGTGTGATAGAAAAAGAAGGAGAAGGAGGAGTAAGAGGAGGATGAGGAGGAGGAAGAAGAGGAGGAAGAGGAAGAGGAGGTAGGGGAGGAGGAGGTGTGGAGGAGGGGGAGGGAAGAAGGAAAAATAATGGAGCATCTCTGGTTTCTGCAGTGGCTTCAGAGCCATAAAATGAGTTATTGAGTTTATCAAGATTCCTCTTTTAACTTCTGAGCTTTTGTTAATGATGTATTTGAACATTCCTTAGCTGTGTTTCCTAAAGCAGGCAATAACATGCTCCAGGATCATGCTGGAATGGTCAAGGGGGTACCTAGGGGGCAACTTGGGGCTTTCAGTTTGTTTGCTTTGGCTTCAGTTTTGGAAAAGAGATTCCCAGGGGTTTTCTGAGCAGTCTTTTTCCTGAAAGGGGAAGAGGGGGTGTAAGCCAAATAAGTTTGGGAGGGTCTGCTCCTGAGGACTGTGATTAGAAAGTGGCAACTTTCAGTATCTACCCAGTAACCTCCAGGGAGGAGAGAGAGATTGGATAAGTCATGCCCATGTTAACGAAACCTCCGTAAAACCCACAATAAAGGACTGGCAAATAACCCAAGTGGCTGTAGTACTTGCTTTGTAGAAGCACTGATTCACTTCCCAGCACCTCATGGTACCATGAGCACTGCAGGGAGCAACCACCTGAACACCACACTAGAAGTAGAACCTGAGCACTGCCTGAAGTAATCTGGGAAGAGACACACTAAAAAAATTTGTAAAGTCTGCCCCCATAATTTTGCCCTGTGCATCTCTTACATCTGACTGCTCCTAGCCTAATTCCTTTTATAATAAGCATATAATTTAGTGAAATGATTATCTGAGTTATGAGCATAGGGATGGGTTGTTTTAGTTGGAGGCTAGTAAGGTGCTTGCCTTGCATGTTGATGGCCCAGGTTCAATCCCCAGCTCCATATATGGTCTGCTGAACCCTGCCAGGAGTGATCCTTGAGCACAGAGCCAGAAATACACCCTAAGCAACACCATTGCTAGTCTAAAAACAAAACAAAAAAGAAGGATGGTTTCCAAGTCTGCCATGAAATGTTTAAGCAATAAAGATGCAGTGGGTGCAGGAAGAGGTGGTCTACTATGGACAGACTGATGAATTTGTCCTGAGAAACTCCAGTTTCTGGCAGAAGAGTAGGAAGTGTGGGGGAGTAATTAAGTCATCTTTTGAGGAGACAAAGTCAACCAAAATTACATGAGGCAAACACATTGAAGGGGTCAGAAAGAAATAGTTCAACAGGTTGAAATGCATGCTTGGTGTGAAGGTGGTCCATGTTCAGTCCCTGACCCTGCCTGGTCACCTGACGACCACTCCCAAGCACTGAGCTGGGAGTAGCCCCTGAGCACCACCGAGTGTTGCCCTAAAATCAAAAGATCACATCAGGTATATAAATATATATGTATATATGTATATATGTATATATATATATATATTAGAAGAATAATATCCATGGGCTGGAGCGATAGCACAGCGGGTAGGGCGTTCGCCTTACACGCGGCCAACATGGCCGACCCGAGTTCGATTCCTCCGCCCCTCTCGGAGA